GTGCTGTGGGGTGGGCGGGTTGCTCCTGGGGGCAAGGACGACACATCCAGGGCTCCGGGCGCAACTGCGGGTGAGCAGGGCAGGAGCCAGCGTGGAGGCCCCAGGACCAAGCAGTCCTGCCGCCCTCAGTCCTGCTCACCTCCCTGGCTCCCACCCAGTGTGGCAGGTCCCAGTCCCTACAAAGCCCATCCTCCCAGGGGGGCAGCAGCCAGCGCATGTGGGCATCTTCTAGAACCCTGGCCCCGACACCCGGCCTGGTGAGGGTCTGGAGGCCATGAGGCCTGGCCCCACACTGGCCACTTTAGGAGTTCTGCTCACCCACCCCCTGAGCCAGAAAAGGCTATGGTAGAAACCATCTTGGTCCCTGGTGAGGGGACCACAGTTCCTCTGGGCCAGGAGGGCTGTTCAGCGGGCTGTGTCCTCACCCCATGGCAGGGTCTTGGGGTGTGTTGTGCGTGGGGGGATGGGCCTCTCCCAATCCTGGTGGCCACTGACCTGTCCTGTCGGCGACCCTCGCAGGACATGGGGTGAGTGCCCGGCTTGCTGTTGGTTAGCGCCTCCCAGATAGTGACCTGGAGGGAGAGGGCGGGGGCCAGTTGGCTATCGCGGCACCGCAGCCAGGTGGCCCCGTGCGTCCAAGGGGACGAACCTGGTCATACTCACTGCCTGCCTCAAGCAGGCTCTGCTGGATGGCAAACTGCAGAAGGTCGTCATCGTCGTCGTGGGTCGCGGCCTCCCGCTGGCCACCCAGCACGCTGTAGCCCCGTGGGGCCTCGAACAAGGTGGGAGAGATCTCGCATCCACGGCAAGAGGCTGAGGGCAGGCCGGGGTCAGAGTGGCTCCCCAGGAAGGGGAAGAGGGCTCCGGGGAGGGGGCTGGGCTCACTTGTGGAACTGGAGCTACTGACGCTGGAGGAGTCGCTGCCAGGGGAAGGGGTCTCGCTGCTGGGGCTGCCTCGCACTGAGGGCACGGGCTCATCGCAGCCGTTGAGGTTCCCGAAGGTGATGCGGGCGTTGAGGATGTGGAAGATCGGGATTTCTGAGGGTGAGGATACCATCAGGGGCCACCACCCACCCCCTCGCACCGCAGACCCCCACTCTCCCTCATCTAAACGCCCCAGCCCCACAACAGCAGCCACGGGGAAGTGGGAGTGGGGGCTCACCAATCTTGACAGGGAAGCCGGGAGGCAGGCGCAGGGTAATGAAGTCCCGGAGCTTGGCGAAAAGCGCATTGCTAACAGCCATGAGGTCGATGATGGGAGCTACCTGCTCACACAGGGACAGGGGATGCTCCTCACAAAGCCACAGCTTGGCCTTGAACCTGCCCCCCCAGGATCCCAAGGGGTGAGGGACATTGTAGGAGTGATGCTCCCAGAACCTTCCGGAGCCCCTGCCCCTCCTCCCCGGCCGTCCTGCCCTGCCCACCCCTCCTGAGCACCAGCAGGGGCCTCACTTCTGTGTCTTGGTGGTCAGTTCCATGGGGCGGCCCATGTCACGGTTGCCAAGCTCAAAGTTGGGGTTGAAGTACTCCTCTGCGGTGATGGCAGTGGGGTTGGCTCGGCTCAGAGTCTGGGTGATCAGGGTCTGTACCGCATGGGGAGGGGCCCATGAGCCCTCCGCAGCCTCTGATGCCAGGCCAGCCATATGTGTGACAGGCCCAGAGTCATCCCCACTGCCACTGTGGGGCTGGCATGGTCTTGGTCACCGTGGAAAAGAGGTCCTCGCAGGCATGCTAAGTAGGACACCTTCCAAGCCTTCTCCTGATCCACATCCATACCTGCCCTCCAAGGGGCACCCCTGGCCCACACTCACCCCATTTTGGGGGCCCCCATGCTGCTCAGCAATTCCCAGGAAGGACTGCAGCGGTGTCTTGCAGCCTGTAAGAAATGTGGCTTCTTGGAGGACATTGCAGCCCTCGGAAGTAACGGCACCCAAGTCCGAGGCATGAGGCTGGTTCCTGGGGGCGGGGCAGCTGCTTAGCTGCACCCACATCCGGGCACCTTCACCTGAAGGGGCCGAGACGCGGGGGGCGGGGCCAGGACCACTATTAGTCTAGCTGGCATAGAACATAGGCCTCGGGCTCAGGGTAAACTTTCAGGGTCACGCTCCAAGTTGATGACACGACAAAAAGTACCTGCTTTGGTGAACAGTTTTGGAATATACGTGCGCATGTATGTGTTTTCTTTCAGGCACTTCCATGTTCATTTGTTCTCCTGTGAGGTAGGAATTATGTCTCTCTGCTTTAGACACAGTAAGTGATGCCCAGAAAGTCAGGTGTAGTATCAACGGGCACCGAGCATCAGTGCAGGGCCCTGACTTCCTGCCTAGCTACGCCTCACTAGGCCAGAAGGGCCAACAAAGAGCAGACATGACCCCTCTCTCCCTCCCCAAACCCCACGCAGACAGTGGTCACCGACCCCTTCCCCCTGAGCCCAGCCAAATGTTGCCTGGAAGCATCTTGGCAGCACTCTAGGCAGCCACCACCGGCCATGAGGACGTGGCCCTTGAGCTGAAACCCATTTGCCTGAATAGACTGTCCTGGCTTTTGCAAGGACGTCAGAGGGATGCTGATGGAGGTGTTCACATGGAAGCTGGTTCCTCACAGCCCCCCGCGTGCGTCTGCCTCATTACCTTTGACCTTGCCCTTGTGCTGTTCTGAAAGATGCTCTGTCCGTGTCCGGGTGATGAGTTCCACATTGGATGCCCCGTATACCTGGGGAAAGACGAAGAAAGGGCTCAAAGACAGCTCTGGTCTCCCTGCTCCTGGCTCCCAAGGGCTTCCTGAACTCTTCCCGCAAGGAAGGGCCTGGGGCAGGAGACAGGGGAGCTGCTTGCTCCTATCTCCAGGCCCTTGAGCAAGTAAATCTATGACATCATTAATTCATTCTCTTATTCACTCAGCAAAC